GCCAAGGGTGAGCCATGGCTTGGTGGCCTCTTCCCAGCTGTGGTCCAGAAAGACCTTGTCTGGAAGAGTGAGCAGCTCAGTTCCCTCTGTGATCCTGGATCCACATGATCCCGGCCACAGTGCCTGTACCCAGGGGGATGAACTGGAGATGGGGATTGGTTCTCTACTCCCCAGGAAAATCCCCAAAATCTGTTTGGCAAAGCCAAGGAAATGAATGGAATCACGTCATTCTTCCTGGTACCTGTGACTTCTCTGATCCTCCCAGAGCACTTTGAAAATAGGAGGTAATTAGTGTTCCCAGACCCAGCTGAATTGCTGGAGTGCCGCTACCTTATCCGTTTCCAGCAGGGAATGTGGAGGCGCAGAGGTTGCACTCAGGATTTCACTGTTGGCTTTGAGCAGGGTCCTGCTCCTCTCCCCATATCTGAAAGGTGCAAACTGGACCAGCTCTGATTTCAGGGATTTTGGCATGATGGGGACAACAGGAGCTGCCCTGCAGACTCTCCGCTCTCTTCCCAGAATGGATTTTATCCAAATGCTGAGGAAGTGCTGCTGCTTTTCATTGCTCAAAACATACAATCTTCTGCTGGGGAATCAAGAATTATGCTTTGGAGGCCAGTGACTTCCCGCTTTCTGCTTTCAACCTGGGTGCTTCCAGCCAAGGATGGGGCTCTGCACTGTCCTCAAGGCAATGGAAATTCTGCAGGAGTTTTAAAAGTGGTCTGGAAACAAGCCAGCCTTGCTTCAAGGGGAGTGAGCCAAAAAAACCCCAAACTCAGGCTTAGGAATACAAGTGAACAGGGCCAACAGCATTGTCCATTTCTTGTCTCCATGTTTCCGTCCCATCCCAACTTTCCCTGTCTTTCCCATGAGCCTGTTCCTTTTCTTATGCTTCATCTGTTATTTCTGAAGAAGGAATATTCTCTCCAATCCATCTTTTGGGATGACTCCAGTTATTTCCTCCTAGCCTCAGGTTGTGCCCTCTCCTTAGCTCTTTTTGGCATGGACGTGGCCTCTTCCTCATCCTTCTTGGCATCACCTTTATCTTGGCCAAATCCCACTGGAGCGATGACACCAGGGTGATTTGGAATCTTCCCTGGGGTGGGAAGATTGGTGAGCAAGATCATAACCTGCTTATTCTCTCGTGCTCTGATTTTACTGCAAAAATCCCATTCCCAGGGCAGGATCTGACCCTCTTTTCAGCAGGATTGTGGGGGTGGCTGCCCAGTACTCTCCTATCTGCTCTTGTCTGTGACTTAAACCCACAGATGCTGCCCTGGCCACCTAATGGATGCTGCATTTTCTCAGTGAAATCACTCCATTAATCTCATGCAACTAATGCTTTGGGAAGTGTTTTGCAAATATTGATAGTCAGGAAAGAGCTACAATTCAGACATGGCAGCTGCTTCGGTTGTATTGCCCTAGTAAGTCATGAATTACTGAGCTCAGGAGGATTTTGTGGCTGCCCCATCCCTGGAAGTGTCCAAGGCCAGGTTGGATGGGGCTTAGAGCAACCTGATCTAGTGGAAGGTGTGCCTGCCCATGGCAGGGGTTGGAAAGAGATGAGCTTTAGGGTCCTTTCCAACACAAATAGTTCCATGATTCTGTGATGATTTTCTTTCCTTTTCAAGACTTTCTTGGCTGCTCTTTGTCCTTCTTCCTCAGTGCAGAAGGGCCATGCAGAATTGGGATGGGTATTTGTGTATCTTAGAGGCATCCATAAGAGTGACCTGCATGGCTGAGGGAAGAGGTTGGGACCTTTTCCTCCCCAGCAATTCTCCATCGTGATGGCTTTTCCTCTTTCCTGGCTTGGGCAATACAATCAGCTTGTGACCAGGATTGCCTTGGCTTTATCCTGCTTCCCATCCCAATGGAGGCATGTTCCCTGACTCATTCTATCACTCCCAGCCCCGTCCTGTGGTCCCCACTGTGCCACCTTCCCACTGCACGCTCCCTTTTCAACTCCTGAGCTCTGAAACTTGGGATAGCTATAGCCAGTCCATCCTGGCACGTGAAGTGGAAAATCATAAAATCCTGTTTCCTCTGCAGGGAGAAAGAGTCTCCCAGCTCCTTGTGAGATTAAACCTTGTGCAGTATCTGCAAATGTTGGGAGCAGAGGTTAAGCTGAGCAGGTCAAGGGGAGGAGGTGGCAGCGCTTAGCAATGTAGATCAGATGGCTCTGAAACCTCCCGGCGTCCACGGCCAAATCCTGGGATATTTAGGGGTTTAAAACAGAATGAAGTCAGAGGAAGGAAGTAGTGCTGTTGGGTAAGGAAGGACGGATTAACTCAGCTCCCTGAAGGAAGCTCTTTGATCTGCTTGTGGCCATGGAGGTGCCCAGATGTCTTGGTGGCCCTCTGAGACAATCCCTGGAGATATTCTGTGTGCTGCCTCCAACAGGGAAGCAACAAGGAAAGCAATGACATCCATAAAAACAGAGATAGGTTTCAGATTTTGCTCTCTGCTGGGAAGTGCTCCATGGTGGTGAGGGGAGAATCAGGATGGACTGGCTGGATGGGATGGCTCCTTGCATCCTCTGCTTGGAAAAATCAACCTTGCTGAGGAGATGCAGAGGCTGCTCCTGGCAGCCATGCAATTCCAGCAGTACATACTAAGGCCACACAGGGATGAGCTTCCTGGGCTCCTCAGCCTGACTGGGGACATGCACAGGCTGCAGCTGGAACCTGCTGGGACCAATTTGTGCCTCTGCTCTGGCCGGGCCACGCTGTCACGGTCCATCCTGGAGCACTTTGTTCTGCTCTTTACCTGTCCCTCATCTTTCCAGCACAGGGCTGTGCTTGCTTTATGGTGCTTCAGCTTAATCCAGGGAGTTTTTTTCAGCTGCAGATTTGCCAGGAGATGAGGAGGTCAAGGGACGTGCCTGGAGCCAGGGATCAAGTCAAGGGATTCAGCCAAGGGAAAGGGAAGACTTGGGCAGGACAGGCTCTGATGAATCCCATTCAGGACCTTTTCTCCCTGTCCCCTTCCCCATACTGGCATTTTTCCTTGAAATGCATTGAATCCATCTCTAGGGGAAACAGGAGGCTGAGCACAGTGTGAGAACATCCCAAGCCATCTTGGAAGCTCCTTTGCAGAGTACTCGGAGTGTTGAGGATAATTTCTCTCACCCAGTTGCTGCCCATCACCCCAGCAGGTTGTCCTGCCAAGATGCTCTGGGATGGAGCCAGAAAGGGCAGTGAGATGGTGCCAGGTCCCCAGGGAATGCATGGACAGCTTGGTGGGATCTCTCCTGCCACAGCCACCATTCCAGGCTGCCACTAGGCATGGGGCAAGCCATGGGGGCATGGCACCAGCTGTTCCCTGTTCTTGTGGACACCAAGGTGGACTGCAGTGGGACAAGCCAGGCTCACTGCTCCAACCCAACCACAGGACATGTCTGATGTCTCCTCTGAGCTGTTTTCCAGCCATCTTGCCGGTTGTCCCCCATCCTTCTTCCTGCCACCACCTCGCCCTGCCCTGCCAGTGCCTGCCCTAATCCCCGTGCTCTGCTCCCTCCCCAGTGCTAATCCTATAAACCCTCAGTAAATCCTGCCCACCTGCCCCTGCCTCTCCACATCCCTTCTCCAAGGCAGTCTTTGTGGGATCCCTCAGTTTGGGGCTGGTGTTTTTTGGGGTTGCACAAAGCTGTCACCCAGACAATGTAGCACCTTAGGATGTTGCACTGGAGCACCAGGAAGGATGCCCAAGTCCTGCAGGATTTGTGCAAAGCACTAACTGATAAAAGACAGCTGATGCACCCCAAAATGCACCCCAAAATGTGGCCTGGTGCTGGTTTCACACTCTCAAGAAGCAGTTCCTGTGCTCAGCATGAGCGACTCCAGCCCAGACCTATCTCCAGAGCTACTGCTGAGCCCCAGAACCGGGTGTGAAAATTCCTAAGGGAGTCCTGGGGGTAGGATTGGCTGGATTCATGCAGAGTTCACTATTTCAGCAGGTCTATTTTAAGACTGCCTTGGCGTGTGGGAGAGGGGCTGGCACAAAGGGAGGTCCCAGTGCTCCGAGGTGCTGCCTGTGCCCATCCCAGCCCTTTGCAGCCAGGGGCTGGGACCAGCCACAGCATCCCAGCATCACCAGTGCCTGGCAAGGAGCCATCCTTGGGCTCGTCAGTCTGCCCCACAAGGGCTTAGGCGAGCAGTGAATCACTGTGTCTTGAGCTGGTCCAGAAAAGATTAAGCCAACCTAAGAATAAAAACAAGCCCTGCAGTTCAACCGGCTGGGATAACACCTGGAATTGTGCCAGTCACCAAGCTCCAGGAGGAGATGGGATTATGCACCCCGAGCAGATTATCACCCACCCCCATTTCAGTGCACAGGGTGAGTGATGTGCTCCAGTTGTGCTTCTTGGACTGGAGGGGTTCCTTGTCCCTCCATTCCCAGTGCTGTGGTGGAGTCCTGTGTGTGTTTCATCCCACTAATGACCAGTTAAGCAACTCCAGTAACTGCCCAGACAAATGTAGGAGCTCAAATGGGCACATTTCTGAGGGGAATAACCAAATGGATCTCTCCCTGTGAGGCCTTTGTCTCTATAGAGCTGCTTCCTTCCTCAACACACCGGAAGAAGGCACTATGTGTATAAATAAATGTATTGTTATATGCCACCCATCCAATGTGATATAGCATCGATCACTGTCGGCAGCATGGATGGGATTGGAATCTGCTCCTGGATAACGATTCCCCCTTCCCGTCTCCCTGCTCCCTTTTCTTTTGCACTAGGGATTGATCCAAGGGACAGTTCCTCGATGCCTTGGCTGGTTTCTAATATTCCCATGCTGCAGGTGGAGTGCAGGCCCGCAATCCAACCATGGATTTCCTCCTACAATGTGACGTTACAATCCTTGTCACGGAGATGGGACTGGGATCCAGAGCTGCACTTGGCTGCTCCCACTAGTAAAGGGCTCACGGAGGAGTTTGATGCCGTTAGCTGACCACAGGCGGCCGTGCCATGAACCCCCTCTTTGCTTTTTGTCTCCTCTCCCCAGGGACATACCAGGGCCAGTGGGTCGGAGGGATGCGCCAGGGTTACGGCGTCCGGCAGAGCGTTCCCTACGGCATGGCCGCGGTTATCAGGTCACCCCTGAGGACGTCCATCAACTCCCTGCGCAGCGAGCACACCAACGGCACGGCGCTGCACCCCGACGCCTCGCCGGCCGTGGCCGGCAGCCCGGCCGTGTCCCGGGGGGGCTTCGTCCTCATGGCCCACAGCGACGCCGAGATCCTCAAGAGCAAGAAGAAGGGCATCTTCCGGCGGTCGCTGCTGAGCGGGCTCAAGCTCCGCAAGTCCGAGTCCAAGAGCTCCTTGGCCAGCCAGCGGAGCAAGCAGAGCTCGTTCCGGAGCGAAGCCGGGATGAGCACGGTCAGCTCCACCGCCAGCGACATCAACTCCACCATCAGCCTGGGCGAGGGCGAGGCCGAGCTCTCTGTCATTGAAGACGACATCGACGCCACCACCACCGAGATCTACGTGGGCGAGTGGAAGAACGACAAGCGGTCGGGCTTCGGGGTGAGCCAGCGCTCGGACGGGCTCAAGTACGAGGGGGAGTGGGCCAACAACAAGCGCCACGGCTACGGCTGCATGACCTTCCCTGACGGCACCAAGGAGGAGGGCAAGTACAAGCAGAACATCCTGGTCAGCGGCAAGAGGAAGAACCTCATCCCGCTGCGGGCCAGCAAGATCCGTGAGAAGGTGGATCGGGCCGTGGAGGCGGCCGAGCGGGCGGCCACCATCGCCAAGCAGAAAGCGGAGATCGCGGCGTCCAGGTAAGGGCATCTCTGTCCCTCCCCACGTGGCATCTCAGCTGGGGTGCCACCCCAGTGGCTTTGCTGGGATAAGTGGGATAAGTGCTCAGGGCAGTGTTTTAGGGATGCTGCTGGAGGCAAGTTGTGGAGGGCATGTGCAGGCACAGCAGCAGTTGGTGCTGTCTGGACCCCAAAGTGGGAGCAGGCAGCACCCTTGGGCGTGCCCAAACCTCATGGGTGGTGTTCATAATGGGGTGGATCCAAGCTGAATTGTCCCTCTGCTAATTCCAAGCGGGCTACAGATGCACAAGCTTCCCAAAGGAGCCGGTGAGGCCTTGCAGGGCCACCCAGGTGCAGCTGGGGCAGGGGTGGTGGCACCATGGTGGGACTGCATGTGTGGGGCTCACAGGCTGAGAGCTGTCACTTAGGGGGTACTGGGTTATCCACCCTGTTTTTCCCTATCCCTCTGGAGAAGCAGGATTATGCCCTTAGCAGAAGAGCTCCTGAGATGCTGTTTGCTCATATCCTCTGTCTGACTTACAGCCAGGAGGAACCATCCCAGGGCTGGCCTGTGCTGGGAGGATTCCCAGCTATCTCCATTCCCAAGAGGGTTTTTGAGAGGAAAAACAGTCAAATCTCTGGCTGCAGCTGATGCCTGGGGAGGGTTTGCCCTGCCTGAGGCTCTGCTGGAAAACAGCAGATCTGGGTGCCCAAATAATCCTCCTTCTCCCTGTGCAGACTGCAGTCAGCGTGGAACTGCTCAGGAATCCAGAGCTGGGACCCGATCTGGCTAAAAATCAGCAGGAGGGAAGGGGGAAAGGAGTCGTGTCTAATTTAGATTGAAATAGGGTCCCCAGCTCAAAGCAGGGCCAGCTCAAGCACCTCCTAGCTGGCTCCCAAAAGGCACCTGGAGCTTTGTGGCTTTGCAGCAGTTCCCAGACTGGAGGTGAGCTGAGGAGGAAAAGCTCCTCTGGAGAATTCAGGGCTCTTTGTATCCCTTTTTGGGATGGTTTATTAGAGCATGTCATTCCTTTCTGTTTTTGAGCAAGAGCTATATATAGCAGCCAGGCTGGGAAAAAGGGCTGGGGTTAGGGGAAAAACCCAGGTACCTCCTCAGTCTCCTGTGCAGGATTAATTGTTGAGTCTGGTATATTTGTATGCAGAGTCACACTTGAAATCCTTATCAGCCTGCCTGCTGATGGCTTATCTGTAATATGAATGAGACTCCCAGGCCTGCTTTGGGAGCCTTTTTGGGCTTGATGATGTTTTTGAGCTGATGTTGTACCAAATTGTTGTCAAAGCTTTAGAATAAAACTAAAAATCCTACTAGAATGCCAGGTAGGAAAGCAGAGCAGCAGAAAGACTAGATCTTTCCCTGTGATCTGGGGATGTGAATGCCTCAAAAGACCTGAATCCTGGAAATGTGGAGCTCTAGTCTGCTGTGGGGTGAATCCTGGAAATGAGGAGCTCTAATCTGCTGTGGGATGCTGGGTCTGAGGACCTGAGCATCCTCCATCTCTGGGTGGTAATGGTCCTGGAACATCATGAATGTGGGATTGGAAGAGATGTGACCCTTCCCCCTCCCATGCTGGAAATGCTTAATAAGCTCTTGGCATATAATATTCCACTTCTGATTATGGGAAAGAAGAAAAAAAAATCAAGTCAGACAGGAATGCCTGATGCAAATACTTCCCTCTCCTGCACTGACTGGGGTGCTGTGGTCCTGAGCTGTGCTGGAAAGCAGCAGGGAGGATGGAGGATGGAGAGCTGGAGGGAGGATGCAGCCTGTGGTCACATGTGTGCATGGAGGAGGGGAAAAGCTGTGGGATTTGTGAGATTTGACCCCTTCAGTCACCAGTGAAGATGCAAAGAAATAAATACCTGGGATGCAGTGCCTTGAATATATTCCACCAGAGACCAAAGCTGGTCCTGCCAGAAAATGCTCTGTGAGCAATCCGACACCTCCATCCTGCATCCCAGCTCCCTCCTCCTGGCTAGTCTGCCCTTGACTGGACACATGGAAGGAAACAAGTGCTGGGAATGCAGGGCTTGGCTCTTGCCATGGCCCAGCCGCTGCCTGCAGTGCACGAGGGCTGCTGGTGTGTTGAAAAGCCCTTTATTGATCCCCTGCACTGCCCAGCTCCGACTGCAAGAGCTGGGGACAGAGACACTCCAACGTGACTCTGTGCATTAGCCCTGAGTTACCAACGGGCATGACACCGTCCTGGGGATGTTTGCTGCCTCTGTTAATGGCCTGTGCTGAGGCCCCAGTGTCTGTCAATGAAGAGCCAAAGTATCTGGCTAGAGCTGGGCAGGACTGTGGGATTTAGGCTTTGCTGGAAACAGAGGGCAGATGGGATTAGGTGGATGTACAGGCTCAACCCTAGAAGTGTCCAAGGCCAGGCTGGACGTGGCTTGGAGCAACCTGGTCTAGTGCAAAGTGTCCCTGCCCATGGCAGGGGGCTGGAACGAGGTGGGCTTTATGGTCCCTTTTAACCCAAACCATTCTGTGTTTGTATGAATTTTACGATTCTATGATAAAGCAGCTCTCCCTGCTTCTACGCTGAGGTCATAGAATCACAGAATCATAAAATCACAGTCAAAGAATCATCACAGAATCAGGGAATGGTTTGGGTTGGAAGGGACCGTAAAGCCCATCTCGTCCCACCCCCTGCCATGGGCAGGGACACCTTTCACTAGACCAGGTCGCTCCAAGCCCCGTCCAGCCTGGCCTTGGACACTTCCAGGGATGGGGCAGCCACAGCTTCTCTGAGCAACTTGTGCCAGGGCCGCACCGTTGTCACAGGGAATAATTTCTTCCTAATATCCCATCTAAATCTCTGCTCTGTTAACTTAAACTGCTTTGTCTGAACCCTTCAATCCTGCAGCTCGAGTTCTCCCACTTTGCAAGGGTTTTGGCCGAGAGTCTCTGAGCCTGCAGAACCAGAAGAGAGGAAGGTTTTACATACCTAGATCCAGCTAGAAAGGCTTTCATCTAGTTAGTCCGATTAATTTTAAAGCTTCCTAATGAAGGAACACTCCCCTGCAGTGCCCACACCAAATTCCACCGTCTGAATAACAAGAAAGGCACAAAACAGGCAGTGGGTGCCTTGGTGGAGGAATCCTGGTGCTCATTTTGGTGGCTTTAGGAACCAGGCGTGCAACATCCCCCCTCTAAGACCAACACGAGTGACTTACCAGCACCTGGGGATTTTATATAGCACCGGTGTGTGTCTGTGCATGTGTGTGTGTGTATTCTTTTCTGTCTAATGATATGGCTGAGTTCACTCTGCAGCCTTTCCCTTGGTGGGGGAAAATATGTGCCCACCCACGTATTTCATTAAATTTGTAAGAATTCAGTATTTTTGAAAACTCTGCCGCTCTGTCAGATTTGGTTGGAATTGGCCAACACGTTCAAAAGTTATTAGTGTGGGAGTGATGGCATATAGATATATAAACAGCACAATCACAGAAGTAAAGCCCCATTTCCTGAGGAAAGTAGGCTAAAAACACAGTGTACTGGAGACAAGTAAATTGGGTTCCTAAAGTTGTTTTAGTCAGAATGGAGTACAATGATTTCTGTGACACAGAAAAATAAGCTCATTTAAAGAATAGTTTTTTAGATTTGGGAGACGATTCTCCTAAATTTTCTCTGATGCAATTAAAATGAGAAACACTTTATTCCCTCTTATCATTCCCATTCACTGAAATCATTTGTGTAAAGTGAGCGGGCAAAAAGGGATATGAATGAGGGCTGAGAAACTCCTGTTGATAACACCTGCCTCATCCCTGGACGTGTTGCCCTGTCCCTGGAAGTGTCCAAGGCCAGGTTGGACGGGGCTTGGAGCAACCTGGTCTAGTGGAAGGTGTCCCTGCTCATGGCAGGGGCTGGAACAAGATGAGCTTTAATGTCCCTTCCAACCCAAACCATTCTGGGATTCCACGATCAGTTTTTGGAGGTAGCCAAGGAGGGAACCCTTTTTCAGCCTGTTTAAAATAAAGGTGCAGGGTGTCCTTTAAGTGCTATGAGATCCTTCATTCCCTCTCATATCAGCCAAGAACCACCACTCTTCTGCTGCCACCCTGGAAGGATGAAGGATGCACTGGATGCACCGACTCCCATCTCATTAATGCTCACATTGATACCTAAGGCAAATTGTCTGTAGGCACTGGTGTGTCATGGTCCACTAAAATATAATATCCAGGCAAGAAAGGTGGGCCAGAAAGCTCATCCCACCCTTGGCTTTCAGCACAGCCTCCTGCTGTAGGTGATGGATGCACGTGGAGTGTCCGGGCGAGCTCAGGACCACACTCCACACTGCACAGCTGATGATGGTAGTTCTAATGCAAAGCAGACAGACCCAAATTCTCTCCAGGGTTTCCTTGTGTTACCACAGTTCAAGGTGTTGTAATTAGTGGCTGGACTGCTTATGAGAGGAAGGACCATCAGCAGTGCTGGAGATGAGTCCCAGATGGGTGGCATGTGACAACACTCCGCTCCTCTCCAGCACTGGCTTCATGGGACCCCTTGTTCAGAACTTTAAGTAAGAGCTCCTGGGAGCAGCCAGTGCCCTGGCACCCTGTGGGGGGGAGGCTGTTCTCAGGTTAGTCCTAAGTAATGCTCTTCCTGGCGTAATTATAGCCGAGCCATTCACCAACCATGGGAAAAATATAATTAAAGCTCGACAGTCTCGGGAGGAATCGGGCTACAAATTACCACAGTGTCATTCAACTTCAGAAAGGGAAGCTGGAGAAAAATAGAAGAAGGAAGCAAATAAAGACAACCTGGCAGTGAGGGGGGGGTAAAGGGAAGTGTTTGGACTCAGCATGGATGCTCCTCGAGGATGCTGCAGTGAGGGCGAAGCATCCGGCCGCGTTTGACGTACGACAGGGAGCGGGGAGGCAGGAAAAGCCCCGGAGAGCTGAGCAGCAAAGTGCAGGAGGTTGTTTGAACCAAACAGGTATTTTCTTCAGAAAAATGGAAACGCATCCCGGGCAAAACCCACAGAAAAGAAAAGATG